TCCACCTGGTGCTTTCATGGGCTCGTCTATTTGTCCTCCTGTCCTGTGTCCTGTTCGCCTGGGCGGGCACCCTCAGCTGTCTTCAGCAGAGGGATCCGAGCGCTTTAATGAGTTCGAAGACTAATTAGGTGCTGAGTAAAGAGTAATGACTCTGTTGTTGAGGAGACAAAAGTTGGACAGAGGAGGCTTTAGTTCTTTCCAACATCTCATTTTATTGTTTCCCAAGAGCATTTCGTTTAAAGCCTCTGGGCTATTGCCATTGTTGCCTTGACCTATAAATATAAATTTTATATAAATATAAAATTGGTTCACAGTAATTAAGGAAGAAAATTTAACTAAAATGCAGAAAAAACTTTTAAAATGGGATTACTGAGACGATTCCTGGGTATTTTCATTGACCACTTTGGAAAAGCAGAGACAACTGAAGTGAGCCGTGTACCGACCAGGTCCAGGGCTGAATCTAGTATTCTGTAAGACATAAATTGCATTTTCCCAGAAAGAGATTCGATCATTTTTCAGATTCAATCATTCTCTTTCTCCATGAAATTCGACTTAGTACATAGCAGGGCACCCCCTCCATATTTTGTAAGAGAAGTAAAATAAGGCTATAGTTATATCAAATCCATGTAAAACAGGCTGCATGCCTTTTGAGAGGAATGCCAGAGCTTCAGGAGAGACACACAGAAGAGGAAGCCCTGGTGTGAGGGGATGAGGCTCAGTTAGGACGGAAATCAGATCAGTTCTGCATTCCTTTCCCGACGGGCCCTGGAATCGAACTTCTGGCTCTGCCCACTGAGAAACCTTCCGTAAGGGTACCCAACCTTACCATCCTAACTGGCTAAGAAACTGGCCGATGACTTGTAGGTCACATCAAAGTGATCACGTCTTTAGAGAAATATAGCCCTGAGCCCAAAACTCCACTGTCATGTCACAGGTGGGGCTCCGACACTCCCCGGGAGGGAAACTCAGCAGAGAAGCGGCATCCACCTCTCTCAGCTATGGCAAGGCCCTGGGGAAGAGAGTAAGGTCGGACCATGAGTCCCTAATCCCTGCTCTTTTCCATGATCATCTGGGCAAGTGGCCACACGCAGGTAGCCAGCTGGGTGAAGCCCCTCTTCTCAAGATGGGTCCAAGAGAAAAGAGCACTGGGGAGGGGGCCCCCTCTCATCCCAGCCATTGGGGCCCATCCTGTAGAATCATGCCCATAATGATTCTACCCATATGCTGTGTGGGTCATGTAAATATGTTGTGTTGGTCAGCGCCAGGGTTTTCTAGAAAAGGCCAACATCCGGGAGGTCTAAGAGGACAAACAGCCCTGGGACAAAACACCTGCCCCAATATGATGAGAAGAGAAAGCCAAAGTCAAAAAGGAAAAACGAAAAGCTCGGAGAACGCTCCCCTTCGGTCAGGGGCACCAGCCGGCTGGAGAGCCGTGGCTAGACCCTGCGGGAGCACATGCGGTGTGGGATCCGCCCTTCCACAGGCTGGAACTCAACGGGACAATTCGGAACCCTTTACTTAAAGAGACCCTGATGACACCGGCTGGGAAAGCAATAGGACTGAGCCAAGGGAACCTGCGAATCGACGAAGATGCCCTTGCTGAGTTCCAACTGGCTGCATATTTTCGGCTTCAGCAGGACATTTGCTGTGTGTAGGCCTGGCCACCAGCACCAAATGGGAAAGCAGACATTTAATTTTCTCAGAGAATTCTCAAGTGGCTTGCAGGTCATAAATTTCTAGGTTATGGGATGGATTCTGTTTAGTTTCCTGCAATTGCTGGACTATTATTGTCTTTGGCCAACTGAGTTACAGCCCAAATATGTTGGTTATTCATTATCCACTTGCCTTACTGCAACCATTAAACCATCAAATAAAACACAGTGTTGCTTCAGGGCGGGGCCCAAAAGGCGAAACTTCATGTTGATTTTGCAAATTTTTTTTTCTTATTCTTTTACCCTCTTGTGAAAAGCTGAAGTTTATCACCCTTTAAATGGAAATCAAAGTTAACTTCCCCTATCTTAAATTTCTGTGGATTGTGCCATTAGTAATAAATTAAACCTGTCACAGATAAACATTTACGTACATCGAGTGCTGTATTTGTTGTAGTAACTGCATCGCAGGATGAAACGTGTTTGGCTAAATAAAAAGAACATACGGCTGTTTTGCATAAGGTTGGAATGGAAACGATACTGAAGGATATTATTTTATGTCAACAACAAAACCAGGCACAATATCTCTCTGGCCAGATCGAAGAGGATATTTAATGACGCCTGTGTGGCTGTTCCCACAGACATTATGCATCTCTGTGAGAACCTGGTCCTCTCTGGACCAGAAGGCAGGGCCGGCACTCCCTGCTGACATGTGCAAACTACAGGAGGGGGGCAAACCCTGGGACCCTGGGGACTGGCCAGGCCACTGTCGCATGCAGCCTCTTTTCCTTGGCGTAAACCTGTCCACCTTTGTGAGGGTACCCCCTGGCCTGCCATCCTTTCTCTACTCCTCTCCTTTGGTTGCCATCCCACCCTGATCACCACACACACATGCTTTTCCCAGACCCTCCCAGGGTGGGGGGATTCTTGCACTGAGGTTCCCTGTTATAGCAGGACCAGGAGTGAGCAGGTACAAGGTTTCCGCCATTTGTTTACCAGTTTTTTGAAGTAACCAATAGGAGGGCAATAAAGGACAAACACTGAAGATAATCTACATTAGACCTTCACGAGCCTTTTATGAATTTCATTTAAAAAGCTATTTAAGAAATAGACATCTTATCATGAGAAAGAGCAAGAGAAAAATAGGCAAACAGTATAGACAAGCCATCCACAAAAGAAGGGATGCAAATGGCAAGAGACTCAATTCAACCTTTTAGTATGCAGGGCAAAGTCAGTTAAAACCACAAGGAAATACTATTTCACCTCCTTCAGCCAGGCAGAAAGGGAGTGCCACTTTGGCCTGGAGCAACTGGGATTCAGCTCACAGGGCGGAGAGAGTGTGGACAAGCCCATCTTCGGAGAAGAGCTCACCATGGAAGATGCCCACACCTGAGGCCCCTGCAATTCCACCCCAAGCGTCATACCTCAGACTCCATGGGACTCTCCTGGAGGCTGGTGAGAAATGCACACTGAGAGATTCTGCATTTAACCAGACCTCCAGGGGATGCCCTGGCCCGAACGTGAGTGCTGCTCCTCGTTACTGGGCCTGGGCATCCCCTGGAGGTCTGGTTAAATGCAGAATCTCTCAGTGTGCATTTCTCACCAGCCTCCAGGAGAGTCCCATGGGGTCTGAGGACCTGTTCTATGTAGCAAGCCTTGGCCAAGTTCTTACACAGGAGCACTGGGAGACTGGCAAGGACTTCACAGCAGCACCAGGAAATAGCAAAATGTTGAAAAAACTAAATGTAAAGACCTCAGATATTGATGTTGGAGTCCACAAACATATTCTTGAATATATGAAAGCCAGTCCCCCTGGATGATAGGTTTCCATTAAAAAAAAAAATGGAGGGAATGTTAAGCAGGGGACACACACAATGGAAGGAAAGTCCTCTTCCCAATGCTACTCATCACCCAAGGGGTGGGGACAGGGCCCAAGAGACTGTGAAGTAGTCAGCCTCGGTGCAGTGCAGACTGTGCAATGCTCAACACTCTGCACAAGTTCCCAATGTGCGGCCGTGGTCAAGAGCCGCAGCTCAGGAGCCTTGTTACTCGAAGTGTGTACCCAGCCTCATCCAGGAGCGTGGCCAAAACAGACTGTCAGCCACCCATCTTACTGAACGAAAATTGTATTCCCCCAAGCCCGCCACCCCCAACTCTGTAGTTTGAGAAGCCCTGCTTCCCTCTGGTGTAGTTGTCAAGTACTACTTTCCTTTCTGGAGAAAACGTCTCCATCAGAAGTGAAAGCAGAGCATAGAAAAGGAATGGTGTCCGAGTTGACAGCCACTTGGTTTAGCATCCTTTACCCTAGAAACAAGCGTGCCGATGGGTCACGCAGAATCACGGGGTCCGACTATGCAGCCCAAACCCCAATCACCTCCCATGTGAACCTCAAAGGTGGCACCACGGGGGGCTCTTTGAGTCTAACTGAACTCCCTGCCTACTTGGAGTCACTCTCCTGTCACTTTTGGGAGTCAGAACATGAGGAGGCAACCAGCCTTCCTTCTCGTGAAAAGTCATAAATCCCTTTCCTGGTTACCACTCCTTATTCTAGGAAGCCGAGCTGGTGAAGACCCAAGCTACCACTTGTGTGCCCAGCAGTGGGCCAAAGCTTGGGGGCTGAACTCTCTCTTGATACATGCAAGGGCCATAGCAAACGCAAGTGGTGTCAAAGGATTGGAGGAACCCTGCTTCTCTACTGAGAGCAGTCCCTATGAGACTTGGCACAGTGCCTCCAGAGGAAACTCCACACCTACCACCTGGGGAAAAAGAAAGCATCAGCACCAACTAAAGGAGAAAATCAGTTGCTTTGATTTAGTTGAATCTTCTGTTTGGTAGGAAAAGAAGAAAACAGACTAGTCAACTTAGGCTAACAGCAAATATTTTAAGCATCCTAATTTCCATAAAGGCACTGGTTTTCACCTTGAACATGCTCAAAAGCAGCAGCAAAGCCCTGGGGGAGCCATCTCCTCCCCAGAATGCTGGGAGAGGGATAGAAATAGAGCCTCCAGCAAAGCGCCCCAGGCAGCACCTGACATGGGCCCCCTGAGCCCACCTCTGCGCACCAGAGACATGTAGGGGCCTTTCAGACCTTCCTAGGAACCAGGTGTGAATAGAGGGAGGCCTGGCCACAACTGACACACACACCAGACAGGGGTGACTGCAGCACCCCTTCTCCACAACCCAGTGCTGACTGCCAAGTGCGAAACCGTTCATTAATGAGTACAAGTGGGCCCTCCAGGCAATGCTAATTCACTGGACCCCACCTCTGAGTCTCTGCCCTTCTGGGGTCATACAGAGCTGGAGGGAGGCACCGGCGGGGTGGGTGCCTCACCCCAAAGCAAAGGCACTTACGGGATTTCCGGTTGGCCCGGGAGCGTTTCCTCTCCCGAGGCACCACTCGCTGACTGGGCACTTGGGTGGCCGACTTGACGATGCGGTCCATGATCTCATCAGCTGCGTCATCCGTGACGTTAGGGGAGTCATCGGTGCCCATAGTCCACGAACTAGTGGATCCTGACAAATTAGACAGGGAATGTGATGTACTCAGAAGGAAAACACCGAAGAAAATGCACAGCACCGCTCATCCTGCAGCAGAGCTCTGTCAGCAACGGACAGGTGAGCCAGACTGATGTGAGTGCTCACCTGTCCCCACTGCAGGGGCCCCACTGTGACCACCACCCTCCAGGCTCTGAACTCCCACAAACCTGCACTCGGGGCTCTTTTATCCTGATACCTTGGACCACAGCTGTGTTCTTGTCTCTCACTGTCCTTTAACAGTCTATGCCTGTATGTGTAGCCTCCACTCACCAGGTCCTGTGATCACAGGAGGGCAGAACCCCCAGCCTCTCGTGCCAGGCGGTGATGTGCGCATCACAGACCTCCAGCCACGTGCACCCAGTGATGTCCAGAGGCATTTGTTAATGCAGCTATCTGTCCATGGTTGTATGTGCCTAGTGAATGTTAACTAACCCCAACTTCTCATTCAGTGAAACAGAAATCAATGGATTTTGAAACATAGTTCATCTTTGCAATAGCTAGCTTTTAAGTATTACAAGACTGTCCTCTACAACCAGTGAAGGGAGAGTTGAAATAAATTCTCTTGGTGCATTCCTCTGCCCCTGCCCAGAAAAATACATTTATTAATAACTATACGCTAAGACAGTCCAAGCCTGACATAGAAGCACCTGCCCCTAGGCAAGTAAGAAGAAAGCCCAGCAAAAATATGGGTCCCCAAGTCATGTCAAACTGTTAGAAATTCATGATCTTTTAATATATCCAGAACTGTGCTTTTGTGGTCAATCAACTTCCTGGTGAAATCTGTAAGATGGGAAACTTGCTTCTCTAAGGAGAAAGATACACCAATGTGCTCAAAATAGTGAATTTTCTTTACCTACACTTCCTTTGTAACAAACACACAACTTCAAAAGCCTATGGGTGGGTGTTCTCAAACTCTAAGCCAAACAGAACACAGGCATCCTGAGGCTGACTAGGTCCAGCTGAAGAACAGTCCGCTTTTCCCAAGTCACAGGGGGAAAAAAGGTTAATAAATCTATAGCTAAAATTTTTGAGTTCTCCCATATCAATTTTTGAAAACTTACGGTGTTTGCATGTTGATGGAAATAGCTGGGAATAGCCGATCACAGTTCAGTGAACTGATTTTCATGGACATGTGTTTATGGTTGAAATTTCACCATCAATATATTATATGCTACAATTCGGTCATAATTTCTACTAGTAAAATTGACATGACTGAGTTAAATACATACGTAATTCACACTTTGCAAAAGAAGGACTAGGACCGCAGGTGCGCTGTCACCTGCACGTATTTGTCACCTGTGGCTGATGGATGTTGACGTTTCCCTGTGACAAGGTGTTTTGTCATTGGTGACACCATTTTGAAATGTTGCCTTGCTTTATTAACGCGAGCACACCAGCAACACTGGCATATGCACAACCAGTAAACTATTCTTTGTTTAAATCAAGGGCACGGGACCTCCTTGCTTCTCTCAGAAGACTAGTTTGTTTTGGTGTCATGAAACCCTTTCGCAACAGGTTCTGCTCAGAAATATTCGAAATTGCGGCTGAATTTTTCTGCATGCTCAGGATGGTCCGGTGTTCTAACTGGAGGTTAAGAGTGCCCACAGCGGCACTGCTCTCAGACGGGCCACTCTGGAGCCTCTGAACAGCGGCCCCTCAGCGGCGGTGCAACTGCGCTGTGCCCAGCAGCTTCCTGTTTCCCTCTCACCTACTGGTGGGCAATTCTGTCTCACTCCAAAACGCCAAGGGACCCTCTCAGAGACACACCACGCTCAATCGGAATTCTAGTTGGCCAAGTCTTCTTTCCTCTCACAGTTCTCTGATGTCTTTGAAGGAAAGCTTTTGTCATTTTTACAAACGTCTGGCTGCTGTAGCAGGAGTGGCGGCTTGCCACTCCCTACGACATGCCGCCTGGAGGCAGAAGTCTCTGAATGTGCAGAGAAACTGAACAGCCCTCCTTTCTAATCGCTTCCCCTGGTTAGTGAAAAGGAACAAACCCAGAAAAAAAAAAAACACATCTTTTTCCCTTTGTCTTTTCAAGTCGGGAACAGCTAGTTTCTTTCCTTAAATAAGCACAGCCTGTTATGTCACCATAGAGATGTGGGCTTCCCAGGATGGCTTCCACCCTACTACCCTTCCCACGAGGTACAGGACTCAAAGTTCCTAGTGGCCAGGGTCACCCCAGTGCAGGCATTAACGCTCTCTTCGGTCTTCCTGGTGGCCATGTTTATGCTAGCACACTAATTCTGCAAGGGCTGCCAGGCTCGGAGAGACTCATGCCTGGGAGACCATAGGCCTTTTTGGGTACCACAGGGTACAAGTGGTACCCATTCCTTTCCTCAAAACCCATAACACTGCAAAGCTGCTTTATTTTACTTTTTAATTTAATTTAATTTTATTATTTTATTGTATTATTTTATCTTATTTTTTATCTTATTCTTATCCTTGTTTTACAGCTCATTCTAGACTGACAGTCTCTCCTGCTCAGCATTTAACAATAGTATTTTCTTCACCTTCTGACTTTCCCCACTTTCTCCTCTTCTATATTCTTTCTTGTTTATGTACTTTCTGTCCTGCCACTTCTTGGCTCTTCTGAGAAATGGAGGCCTTTAATAGACATGAGAAGTAATACTTTTCTAATTGTCATCTGTGTCTCAGAGGGAGACAGACCCTCTTCTGGCATGTTCTTAGCTGCACATAAAAATAAAAGCCGTGTTAAAGGGTCAAGATCAGAGTCTAGAGTGAAAGAGTAGCCTAGGGTCAGGGGTGTGGAGGAGGTGGGCTCTGGAGACACGTGGGGCCTGGATGAACTGAGACGAAGGGGACAGCATCAGCGACAGGGGGGTCAGGGAGACGCAGACGGTGCCCACAACGTGGGGATGAGCGAGTCCCAAATTTGAGGTGGAGGCAAAAATGGCCCAGACGGCAGACGGCCTCGAACGACAGCATGGACGAGGTGGGCCTCCCTTGCAGGCAGGGAGGAGTCTGAGGAAGGTCGGTGTGGAGTCAGCCAGGCCAGGGAAACACTAGTCGACATTCTCAGATTAAAGCTGTGTCTTAACTCTTAATTAAAATTAATAAAAATCCCTTCCAAGTTATGATACAAATCTGGACACTCCTGTCTATCTCTACCATCTTTAAGTTGTAGTTTCCCGGGTGCCTCTAACGATTTCAAGGGGCAAATGGGGGCAGTGCTTTAGTCCAGGGGCCAGCAGCCTTGTTCTGCACAGAGCCAGGCAGTTAAAACCGGAGGCTCTCCGGGCCCTGCAGTCTCGGTCTCAACCACACAGCCCTGCCTCTACAGTGGAAAGCATCGCAGACCATAAAGCGAATAACTATGGCAGGGTTCCATGGACCTTATTTACCAAACAGTGGCCAGCCGAAATTGGCCTTGGACTGTGTTTGCTAATACTATCCAAGAGGATTCATTCACAGTAATAATTCCTTTTATGTGAATTAAGTTATATTTTGGGGACTATTTGTTTCTGAGATGAGGCTACTGAAAGGAGGTCACAACGGTGTGAGTAATGAAAAGCATGTGGTTACATCGGCACTGGGGAGTTCTTACTGCCCTTAGCAGCCACTGCCTGGGCACAGTAATCTGTACCCTGTGATGGGGACCAGACCCCTGCGGGTGGCTAACTGGGAAGACGCGTCCTGCCCAGCCCGGAGTTACCTCGGCTCATTCGGCTGCGTGTGCGGACGCCCAGCACCGGGGTGGCATCCTCCATGGCAGGGGACGAGGTTTTCAGCACAGCCTTCATGTTCTCGTGCTCAGCGGCGTCTTCGGCATAGCTCAGGCCCTGCGGTGGACTCGAAGGTGCCGGAGGACTGCTGGAGAATTTGCCAGACTGCAAGACCAAAGGGGGGGATGATGGTGTGAGCTGGCTTCCCACAAGCCAACTCAAGCTTATAAAATGTTTGGTGGAGGAAAACCTTCGTGTCTCTGTCTCTGTCTTTTTGGTTTGTGTGTATTCTGCAGACACATTCTTGATGACAGTCACTGACTGTTGTGGATGAACTAATGACAAAACATCTGGGTACACAGGAAGTTCTTTTATCAGAAAGCAAACCTGGGGATCCAGAAGGCCCACCCCCACCCCTCCACCGCAGCAGGTCTCCTGGCTCACTGCAGATCCCCCCAGCGGGTGCCTACAAGGGGCAACTAAAAAAAATGCCGGGAAGAACTCAGAAACCAAATCCGTCCCTAACACCAAAGCCAATGTGAGCATCAAAATATGCCCTGTTAATTAAAGATATTAAGCCTTAATTTTTTAAACTTAGTGTCAGAAAGCAGTTCAAACTTTCTGATATGCCATTTATGATGGTAGAATTTTAAAAGTGGGAGTCAGTCACAGAATTAGAGAATGTTAAGAGTTGGGGAGAATTTTTCCAGATCTAGTCCCACCTCACATTACCAAGAAGGACACTGAGGCCCTTTGAAAGTGAGTGACTAGCCAAAGGCCCCAGACAAAGGGGGTTTGTTTCAGGGACCAAGTCAGAACATGGCTCAGAAATTCATGCTGAGACTGAGTTTGGCAACTCTTACTACTTTGCATGGTGTCAAAAAGTTAGTTGTTTTCACAAGCATTGCATGCACACAGTACTCTCTAATTCCCGCTGAACGGAGTCGGGACATAGGTGTTCTACAAGAGGTCTGCTAGAACATCAGCCGTGGGCACACGGCGCCCAACCTCTGGATGAGACAGACACAGTCTGTTAGCTTTATGTTTGCACGGAGGAGCTCCAGAGACTCCAGGCTTCCTCCGCTCATCCAGTGTCACGGCCACGGCAACAGAGAGCCCGGGACACATCTGTGGCTTGTACGTCTGAACTACTCCTGCCTCATCTCCCAGGGCCGGTCAGCGCTGACTTGGACTCTGGCTCCGACATCTCCACCAGGACCAGGAGGAGGAGTCCCTGCCACCCCACCCCTCGCACACTGATCCCACCAGATCCAGTGGACGCCAGTTGAGGAAGTGGGCGCCAGTCAGAGGCTGCCCACAGCCAGTGACCGCTTCTCTGGCCTGGCTCTTAGCCGCTGCCCTACTTCCTCTTTCGTTTTAGGGCTCTGGTTGTGGTTGGTCTAGAATCCGGTTCTCATACTTGTATTGCCAAAAGGCTCAGACAGGGCCAGAGGGAAAATTCTCTGCCCACTTTCCTAGCGGTAAGAAAAGGTCCGCTGAAGCTGCCACTCTTGATGGGGCCTGGGACTCAGGGACAGCTTGGAAAATGCAGTTAATCTTTCAGCCCCTGGCAGACACAGCATGATGAGAACCCACATAAGGGGGTTAGTGACCACACAGAACCCAACCAGAACACGCCCATGCACGGTTTAAAGCTCTGAACGGTGCTAATGTTAGGTTAGACTCCACAGCATGCCTGGGAAGGTCAAACATGGCATTCTTCATGTTCATAAAGAGTCATACCTCAACTTCATCCTCTTCATCAGTCTACCCGAGAGGACAGGACAGGATGGAAAAGACAGAAGGGATTCTTAGAAGGCACAGAAGTCAGCAACAGTGAGATAACCTCCGCGTCATGTCAAATTCCAAATAAAGAAGTTGACCCCCACAGCCGGGGCACGCCCTCTGGATTTGGGAGATGCCAGGCCCTGCCTACATAGCCTTCCTGTCCTCATCTGGACATTCCCTGTGTACATGGGCCCCAAGCTCCATCCTAACCAGAGTCAGACGGGGTTTGCTGGGCTCCGGGCCGATCTCCCGAGGCTGCGCATGAGGCTGGCGGCCAGCTTACCTGGTTCCCTGGTCACTGCAAGCTTCACTCCCTGCTCTGTGTGCTGCCACTCGACTGGCCACACTCTGTGGGACCCACACCACCTGACTGCCACCAGGGCCCCAGTGAGTGGACCGGCCTCCATCTGCCTGGCTCTTTCTATCAGCTGCTGTCTCCCCTCTCATCCCAAGTGTGAACACCGCCCTCTCCCAGCCCCCAACCCAGGCTGCTGGGTCTGGTCCTCCGAGAATCTTCCACACACGGGCCGGACAGGGCAAGAGGAGCCACCACCCGAGCAGAATGGATCACATTCCTCTCTCCTCGGAAACGTGGCATTAAGCTCTCTTTAAATCCCACCTGTCCCTCACGGAGGCTGTCAGAACTGACATGCCATGCCTTTCCCTCTCACCAGATAAACTTCCTCAAGTAACTTCAAATAAAACATCCCTCTTCTTTAAAAAAAAAAAAGAGAGGGTGAAAATCATCCCAATCTCTTAATTTTAAATGGAATACACCCTCAATTTAACTTGTGTCTGTTTCCACAGCGGTGGCAAAGCTAGGCCAGCAAATCAGACACAAGGTTCCTGAGAACTGATGAAACTTCTGGAAGCTGAAGTGGCACCAAGCTCCCAGTTCATCACGCACCACGCTGCCCCCAGCCGCACGGCACGGCTTCGAGAGGTAGCTGTCCTGCTGTGCTGTTTTTGTTTGTTTAATCTTAGAGCTTATTTATTTAACTAGGGTTTCGGTGTTTTGTTTTGCTTTTTCAGGAATAAGCACACATGCAAGATGCTGATGTACAAAGTCTCCAGCCTTCTCATTAGCCCCCAAAGTAACCAGCATTCCCTTCTCACAGAAGGGGAAGCTGGGTTGGAGAGAAGGCAAAGGCCTCACTCAGCACTGCCAGTGCCCCTGGTGTGGGAGGCCTGGGAGGGAGGCCTGGGCTCTCACAGCCCGTCCGGTGTACAGTGACAGCAGACGGGGCCACGGTTGCCTTGTGCCGCGTAGTCTGTGTCACCATTTTGTCCAGCACCAGTTTGGGATACACGGATGAGAACTTACTTAGTTTCTCCCTGATCCTCCCCTGGGAGAACTCCTGGACTGTAAGAAAGGCTCTCTGCATGTTTGGAAACAGAGAAGGAAGAGGAGAGACCAGCACAGAGGAGTAGATAGGGGGCTCACACTGCACATGTAGGCTCTTTAGATTTTACCCAGGCTTCTCTGTGTCTCAGAAAATGATGCCATTTCTAAAATCATCTGTTTAACTGCTACCACTCTCATCCTCATTATTCGGTATCTACACTAAAAGTGCCTTACTACAAAGTTTTCTCCCAAAATTGCTTCTAGCTCTGATGCGCAAGGGCTCTGTGATTCTGCATCTACTGCTGGGTTTTGTTTTCCGTGGTTTAAGTTGTAGATATGAGTCTTCCAACCAGACTATGACATCCTTAGGATTTAAGTTCATCTTCTATTGTACCCACTTCTTCCTCAGCGCCCCATGCCGCGCTGAGCACACCACGGGGGCTTGCTGATTTGGGAGCTGGGAAAACATTCAATCTGTATATTTTGCCTTAAGGGACAATGTACTAATTTTCCAGCAGATGGCAACCTTGCTACACAAATGCCCACTACCAATAGGGACGATGTTGAGGATAAACCCTGAAGCAGCCAGATTTTAATGGGAATTTAAATATTTTTTTAATCAAACCCTAGAAAAATTTACCCCTGCTTAAAAATTGAACACTGAATGTTTTCAGAGAAGGAGAGAATTTTAAAATTAGTGAAATCTGTAAAAAAAAAATCTCAAGAACTTGACAAGAAATTTTGATGTGTTTTCATAATTTTAAGCATATTGGGCTTGTATTTTCCACCCTCCAATGTGTCTCAATTCCATAAAAATTAAGCACTCCTGTTTTACAACTTTTAAAAATAACGCTCTGGAAGGCAATGTGGGACACAGCTAGTCTGGCCAAGCTTGTTCAGTCTGCGGTCCCCCAGCAGGGGAGAGGGTCTCCGAACCCAGATTCCAGGAGAGGCGGCTGACGGCCCTGGGCTGGGACACCAGGTGCCTGCTGAAAGGGAACCTTCTGCCGAAAAGCGATCTGAGCACTCTCTAAGGGTCCAGAAAATTCCGAGGAAACAAGAGGTCTGAGCTGGAGGAGATGACGAGGGGGTTAGTCCCTCGTTCTCCTCAGACTTATTTTTAAAATTTCTAAGACAGTGCATCGGGTCTCCATGGAAAGGTCAGACCCCTTAAGAATGTGGACAGTGATCGTGTGCCCCCGGTTTCTCCCACTATGTGAACGCCCATCTGGGCACAGGAGGCAGCCTTGGCAAGGTCTTCTTCGTTGAATTTGTTCCTCCCCAGAGAAATCTGCCTGGCTGGAGTCCAGCTGAGACACGCTTATCCGTTGGTGATGGCTTATCCGTTTACCTGTCCCAATCCCTGGACCACTGAGAGCCACGGTGCTTCTCAAATATACCTACAGGCATGGCAAGTTTCACAAAGGCACGTGGGAAAGAGGCACCCGCACTGTGTTTTTGTCTCTGACATCTTCATGCTTCCCTTCACCCTCCACTTATGAAGCATCTCCCATCTGAATGCCCACCACACTCAGGGCCCAGTGGGCTCAGGGGTGACGTGGGAGAGATGGGGGAAGAGCCTAGGACTCAGAGAGACGTGTAAGTGTGTGGGAACCCCCAGGGGATCACCAGCTAGATTCACTGTCCTTTGGGATCCCTCCCCACCCTGATAACCTTTGAATCAAGGGACTGCCAAGAGCCCAGCTGATCGTGACTTTGAGCAACCACATCGATTATTTCTCTATTCAGATGCCTTGCAAGTGTGATGCATGTGTCTGCTGATATGGTCATACAGCTTTGTTACGATGATTAAAATCCTGAATCTATTCCCAAATTAGTATGTCTGTCCTCCTATGATAAGTGGCATTTTCTTCCATCACAGAGGTTGAAATGGAAGCAAGCCTTTGATGTCATCAGCACCACACAACACACCCATACGGGTTACAAGTCCCTCCTCCTGCCACACGTTCTTGACTCACATGTCCTAGTTCCTTGTTCATTATATAGCAGATTGTTTTTAAAGAAGGAAAAAAAAACAGCATAGCCCCCAAACTGTGGGACATTTTATGGTTGATTATATTTTCAAAATAAATGATCTAAAGAAGCTGATTTCATACTTACGTCAGTGATCATCTTCCCTCTGGTCTTATTCCTCTCTCTGTGGTTGGCCCGCTTCTGCTTCTGCTGCAAAACCCTCTCCCTGGTGGTGCGATATTCCAGAGCGAACTCACTGATGATCCTGCAGAACTTGTTTATGTTCACCTCCCGGATCGCATACGGTGGGTGCCCCATGAAGAGCAAAAAGGAATGGAACCTGCAGGGGAAAACCACAGTGGCAGTGACTTCAGTTTTAAGGAACAAAAATTGGTTCTCTATATACCTTCCGTGAGAAACCAATCAGCCAGAGACACTGTTCTTCATGCCTGGGACTTTCAGGTTGAAGGTCTTCTCAAGTCAAAGTGAGACCAGAAGTCAAGTTCAGTTCACATTCTCACTGAGGAAGTCTATGTCTAGGGGGCAGGATTTCAGGAGATTGACTGTTTTTCTTTTTACTCATCTGTGTTCTAATGACTCCTGAAGTGGATATGCGGATTTTTGGGAGAAAAATAAATACTGCAGCTTCTAGGTTACATAAAAATGGAATAAGAGATAAGAATGTTGCTTAGCAATTTCTTTGGAACCTGCCCCAAGGCAAACTTGGAAAAGACATGAACGTATTATGAATTATATGTAAACTGATTGATGGTTTATAAAAAGATCCTTATAAAGTTCTGAGTAAATATTTTGAATATTTTCTTGCAATATTGCATACAATCTTAATTTAATTAGAACACACTGGATGAGCAGCACAAAATAAATTTATCTCGCTATTAAATTATAAACAAAAAATTATTGAATTTTATTTACTTAATATTTTTATAAAAGAAATCAAATGAGCAAACAAGAGTCCAATTTTTAGTTCTCAGGAAATGAGAAAGAAGATACTGGAGACAGAATGAAATGTCTGTTCTACATCAACATTTCACTCTGTCTCCTAGTATCTTATGTCATTACATAAATGATACCACTATTTGTAGATGAAAACTTTTGTGTTTGATCACTCTAGCTTGTAGAGTCAGAATAAGGCTTGGTTTACCTTTCAAATGAGGGACACTGGCTTATTCTTCTTGTGAAGAACAATACAGTAAAGTAGAACATGAATTTATGGTAAAGGGGCTGAAAGATGCTGTTTAAAACCGAAGATGTGAGCTAGAAGTATAAAACTCTCAGAAGAAATAAATATAAATTTTATGACTTTAGATTAGGAAACAATTTCTTAGCTATGACACCAAAACCATAAGCACCCAAAGAAAAAACAGATAAATTCAACTTCATGAAAATTAAATAGCTTTTGCGCTCCAAAGGATCAAAGGATACTATTAAGACTGAAAATACAACCCACAAAACAGGAGAAAATATTTAATATGTCTGATAAGGAGTTTGTATCCAGAATATATAAAGAAATCTTACAACTCAACACTAAAAAGACAAAAAACAGACCCAGGATTTCAATAGACATTTTTCCAAAAAAAAAAAAAGATATGCAAATAGCCAATAAGCACATGAAAAGATGCTCAACACCATTAGTCATTAGGGGAACGCAAATCAAAACCACAATGAGATACACTTCACACTCACTAGGACGGCTATAATCAAAAAGACAGACAATAACAAGTGTTGGTGAGAAGGTGCAGACATTGGAACCCTCATATGGCACTGCTGAGACCATGAAAACGGTTCAGCTGCTGTGGCCAAGTCTGGCAGTTCCTTGAAAGTTAAAATGGAGTTACTCTATGACCTAGCAATTCCATTCTCATGTATATGCCCCAAGGAAATGAATATATGTGTCCACACAAAACTTTCTACACAACTGTTTATGGAAGCATTACTCAGAATAGCCGAAAAGGAGGAACACCACCAGTATCCATCAACAGATGAACAAACAATACATTGTCTTGCCATACAAGGTTTTGCAGAGCTGGTCCACCACCTCTCTGACCTTACCTACTATGATTCCAGCCATAGTGGAATCCTCCTGATTCTTGAACAAGCCCACCTCAGGGCCTCAGGCCCCCCATGTGGTATGTATGGGACCCTAAGGGGTCACAGCTAAGCAGGGAGCCTGCAGGGACTGAGGGAAAGGACAGGGAGCCCACTCCATGGGGAGGAGCATAGGCCCTGACTAAGTGTCCAGTACCAGCTGTTCCCAATGCTCAGAACATTTATACCACAGCCAGGTGTATGGATAGCTCTTTCTCGATCCACAGGTCTCTGCTCAAACAGCACATCCTCAGAGAAGCCTCCCTGAACCACCCAATGTACGACAGTATCTTCTTGTCACTCCCCATCCCATTTATGCTCATAATGTTTCTTCCTGGCGTATTACCACCTGACGTGACATATTAGAGATATGACATGACATAGTAGAGATATGACATGATACATTAGGATAGGATGGTGTAATATCCTGCATATATTGCCACTTCTCACTACTCAAGATCTGTGTGCAAGACAAATCAAGGGGAGAATCAAACAGCCCACAGGTGAGTCCTCTTTTATAGGGAAGTACAACCCAAGAGTCCTTATCCTCCACTTTCTAAAACATGGTGTTTTGTACTACAGAGGACCAAACCTTAATGTAAGTTAAAAATAGAATTCAAGTATATATTTTGCAAAAAAGCAAGTGAAATGCAACTCTGAAGAAAGGATTCCAGTGTATATTTGACCGGAAAGAGACTATGACATCCCTTGTCACTTTTTCAGAACACGTGACATGAAGGTCTATGGTCATGGAGGCTGGTTCCCCTCATCGGTATCCTGAACATGACTTCTTTGCTCTGTCCCGTCATCTGTCCTTTTCTTCATGGGTACCACTGAGTGGGGTGCATGGCCCAGAGAGGGGACACATTGAGTTGGGGGTGCTGGGAAGCCAGTGTGCGTGTTCCCTTGTCTTCTGCCTGTCTCTCCCTGTGGAAAGGCAGCCCCCTGCCATGCGTCCCCATACCTGCCAGGAAGGCCTTCCTCCCCACCTGGTACCCTCTCTCTCCAGTGCCTGCCCAGTGTAACTGCGGCCTAATGAGTCTACGGAGTGGGCGAGTGGGTCTGCACATCCAGAGCGGCTTTAGGCCATCAGTGCAGCAGCGTAAAAGATTATGTAGATTCAGACATCCAGAACAAGCTTTTCTTAGCCAGGCAACAGTTTTGAAAGCCAGGTTTTGCCTAAAGGGGATTGTCTAAGTTCTTTTGTCTTCTCCTTTATCAAGAAGGGACCCACTGGAATAACTAAGGGAGGGCCCAACAGATAAAAAGGGGAGGTGCATGGCCAGATATATGTCCTCCTCTCCTTTCCCCAAGGACTCCTTGGAGTCGGAAGAAGTCTGTTGAGAGGCTGGGGGATGGTGAAGTGGAGGGACTCTTTTCCCATTAGGAGGCTCCCATGTAGAACAGTGGTGCTAGGTCAAAGTGGAGCAGTCCTGGCAAAATAGCAAGGGAAGGCCAGCGAGGTGAGGAAGCAAGGGCGCCTGGACTCACCAGCTCCTGTGAGATCCTATGTGGTGTACAAGGGACTCTGGGGAACTTGGAGGGTGCTGAGGGGAGAACTGTAAGATCTGGGGGGATGGGTAGAGTAGAGGGAAAGATCTGATGACTTGTCCCTTAGCTACCAATCAAGTAGGAGGTGCTAGCAGGGCCTGAACAAACCCAGTCCTAGCCTGTTCATGTGGGAGACTAGTGAGGTCCCCGATGGCTCCACCCGTATGAGAACCTGCTTCCTCTCCCACCAGCGAGGTATGGAAATTACAAGTCTTCAGGGAATAATGTCTCATTTAAACCCAGGGTCATACGGTTTAGGTGCTGTGGCTTGGCCACCACCTGGACCCCCCGTTAGCCAGGCCCCTTTTACCCCCCACATACAATGAATTCCTGGCTCATGCTGGTCAACCCCAAATAGTGAGAAGACAGGGATCCAGGTCACACAACAGCAACCAATTATCCAGGTGACCAGCTTACCAGGGAGAATTTTTTATGTTTATACATATATAAATATATAAATTTTATTTTTATCTATTTATATAAATGTGTTTTATATACATTATAAATTATATACTGTAATTAATTACACCAGTTATTTATAATTAAACTATCAATTATTGATTATATTATATAAAATATCTTTATATGTATAAATAAATTTTTAACATATATATAAGGTCTGTCTGCAAAAACTCCAACCATTGTTAAGAAGAATGGTTTGCATGACATCGATGTAACCTGGCAGCCAAGGAGAGTGGAATGCACATGCATGAACAAAGACAACTTCACTGTACTAGTCAGTGGGGGCAGTAGATGCCATTGAATGAGCATGTGTACTGTGTGGACATCACATTCAAAATGACTGAGCAAGTAGAACAACAAATCTGCAGCATATTTTGCATTAAGCTTGAACATTGCTCTGTGGAAACTATTCAGATGATCTGGAAGGCCGAAGCTACGGGTGAGTGATGATTGGCAGCTTCGTCACGACACTGCACCCGCTCATGTGTCACATCTCATGCAGAGTTTTTTGGCAAAACATTAAATCAACCCGATGACTCAGCCTCCCTATAGCCCAAATTTGGTGCCCTGCAACTTCTGACTTTTCCCAAATCTAAAACCACCTTTGAAAGGGAAGAGATTTCAGATTGTTGATGAGATTCAGGAAAATATGATGGAGCATCTGATGGCGATTAGGAGAACTGTGTGAGGTCCCAAGGTTCCTTCTTTGAAGGGGACTGAGGCATCATTGTCCTACGTACAGGGTTTCTTGTATGTTGTATCTTCTTGAATAAATGTCTCTGTTTTTTATGTTACATGACTGGTACCTTCTGGACAGATCTCATGCATAACTACACATGCATATGCATTCTAGCTTAAGGAATACATGCACCACTGAGTTTTTATCTGTCCAGGATAAAACGGTTGATGTGACCAGGCATAACGGCTTTACAAGACTTTCATAAAATTGCTTTAGAAAGTTTCATGACATTCTAAATGGAAACTATTTGTTTATTTGAGTAGTTTTAAGTGGGAAAATGCTTGTATCATACAAAGTGTTCAGGGCCAACACAGCTCACATTCCCTGCCTCCCCTTTGTAACCATGTTAAGAGCACAGTGTGCTTTGATTTCGCTGAGAAATCCGACAAAATCTCGGATGAGACCCTCCCACCCAGAGGGCAGCTGTGAGGCCTAGATGGAGTACAGTGAGGGCAATTTAGAGTTGAACAATCAAATTCCAAAAGTACTGAGTCATGCATAGTTGTCAACCTGGAGGGGAGATTCTGTTCCTTATTCTTGTTTCTAACATTTAAAGATTGCTGGCACCCTCACCCCTCCCCACCCTTGAATAGTCTGGATCAAGACCCAGGAGGCACGATCACACCGAAGCAGCAAATGACATAAGCGGGGAGAGAGTTTATGGGCAGACAAGAGAATTCGGTGTTTAAATATGGTCAGAGGAATGTAACATACAGCATAGGGAATCTAGTAAATAATATTGTAATAACTGTGTATGGTGCCAGGTGCATTCTAGACTTACTGGGCGATCACTTTGTAAGGTATATAAATGTCTAATCACTATGCAGCACACCTGAAAGTAATATAATATTGTATGGCAACTGTGTGTGGAAAAAAGTGTTCTATATAACTTCAAGGGAGGTGAAGGAAAGAAGGAGAGAAAGGGAAGGAGGGAGGGAAGAGGGAAAAACAGACTATAAAATGTACATGGATAAATGAAAATACCACACATCTGTTTAAAGAGATTATCAAGTGCTCACACAGACCAGGGAGTGTGCTTGAACAGCAGGCCCCTGGGACAGCCTGTGGCTGGATGGCCTCAAGGAGGGTTCCTTAGCAGAACTGCAGTGAAGCCTACTTCAGAGGTCCTACCCTCCGAGCCCTGCTCCAGGCCGACCCCGGCCTGCGAGTCTGCAGAGCTGCACATTGGCTCGCTAAGGTGAAAGGCCCAGGACGGAGCCCTCAGACCCTGCAGGCCAGAGTAAGGCACCCGTAGCTATCTTCTGCGATGAAGCAAAGGAAAAGAAAGTGGTGGTGCATGGTAGGCAGTGCCCCGGCCTAGGACATTGGAAGACCCAGGCTCTGGTCCCGGTGCTGCCTCCACTGCATGGCCAGCCATGGGGCCACCCTAGACCTCAGCCAGCCTTGCTGTAGGCAAGCAAGGCCTGCCACATCACTGCTGCGTCTCCCAGAGTCCTCCTGGGAGGACTGGATCCTGTGGCTCTGAGGAAGGCTGACCCAGAGGATGGCACGCATGGTGAGGCCCCAGCCTCGACCAGGCAGATTGCAGCATCAGGCAACCATAGGAGTCTCCACGAGGAAGGTCTCAGAGGGCAGACCATGGATTGTATAAAGAAGGAAGTTCTCTAACAAGTCCATCTGCCTTACAAAACGTGTGCACTCTTTAGGCAGAAGTGTTGAAACAGATGCAGCAATTCAGGGGTCAGCTTGTCAATATGTTACAGATTCAATTCCTGACCAAGGAGAAATTTTGAATGACATCTCTGAGATTCCTTCCAACCTCAGGATGCAATAGCATTATACCACATCACTGTGTGTATGGGTGTGTGCATGTGTGTGTGTGTGTGTGTAGGAAAAATTAAGTGCCCATGAAATAAACATGTGCATCAAAGGTGCACTGGCCACATACCAAGAATTTACAGTACAATTTTTGTAAATCGAACCTTCAGATCTTGGTTTGCAGAACATTTTCAACATGCCATTTTACTGGTGTTTCCATATGATCCTCGATCCGCTTACCTGTTAATTATTCTTCTATGGACAATCTTTAAAATGATAATTCGCTCTGCACAGTCTTTGAGGAACTCTGACATTCGTTGTTTTAAAACTGGTTTCATTTCATGTTTTGCAATTGCCTTGAGGTGATCCCATGAAGCTTTGCATCTTCTTTCCATCTGACACAAATTATCCTGAAGCTGATCGAAGTCGACCTGAAAGTCAGAGCGAGAACGCTGAAAACGCGCTGAAACCACCAGACCCCAACCTGCGCCGGGAAACCAAACTGCCTCCGGGAAGAAACACACATCAAAACCAAATTTACGTCCTGAAATACAAACACATTTATGGCCCCAAAATTATCCTCATGTGTATCTGCCATTATCTCGGCATCCAATTGTTTAGTGATAGAACTGCTCTCCCAGTGAACCCAATGCAAGTGGTACTTTTTTTTCTTTTGCCACATGAGGAAAGAAATCGTAGGCGAGTCTTTGAAAACTGTAAAATTAGAACACGATATCAAAGAACCCAAGTACAGGATGGACTGAGCAGATGTACCACTAAAATTTTCAGAGCACTTCTTGTTCTTTAGAGATGATATTTCACTTAACATTGGAGGAATGTGCCGTAGTCACACATGGATGGCTTGATACTCTGGGGCCAGCTAAGGGGTGGCCAGCTTCTCTCCACAGTGATCTCCTTTACACTGTGTGACGAATTACTTTATTTATCCGCCCATTCACTCAGTCACCATCACTCATGAAGAAACTGGTGTATGGCTGTCCCCCCACCAGGCACCAAGGACACAAAGGCAAATGCTGAATGAGACCAAAGAGGCTTATTGTATAGACAGACAGGCGGTACCAAACACCGAGGATATATAGAACTCACCAGGTGTGTGTGCATGTGTGCATGTGTGTGTGTGTGTGTGTGGTGTGAGGGCCTGTGGTCTCGCCAGGAGAGGCAAGCCACGTGTGTAAGGAACAGATGTCACACAGCTCAGGCGTGCTCTTCAGGGAAGTGGGAAGTCTGGATTTTCTGAAGTAGCCTGAGACGAGGCTTTGTAAAGTAACGCTTTTGCAAAACATCTAGACTAGAAATTTTCTACATCAGTCAGTCATGGAAAAATGCACGTGAGAGCCTTTAATGAAGCTGTGGGGTCGGGGGGAAAGAAACTGAGAAGGCTGGGAGGGGAGGGAGAAACAGATAAACAGGGGAGCTGAAGGGAGGGACCGGTGGGATGAAGGGAGGTGTCCGGTGACAGACGTGGGAAAGGCCAGCAGCCAGGAAACCAAAGTTGGAAGGAGAAAGAGGAAGTTTAGGCAGAGCCCACAGATTCAGGTAAGCAGGGGGTTCATGGGACTTTGAGAGAAATGATTTTCTGAGACCAAAGAAATTCTGGGTCCAGATTTTAAAAGGTTTCACTTTCCCATGATACTGTGGAGCTGTGAAAAAAACTGGCGTTCAGCTGAAAGAAAAAGATAAGAAGATTTAGAAAAGAAGGGCCGAGTACTTCAAAGAATAAGTCTAGGAAAGGGTCCAGACGACCTGGGGTTGACGACTGAGATCTAGGAGGACCAGGAGGCTTTAAGCAAATGGAACATCCCAACCATAACTCTCCGTATCTGTCCTCATGTGTACCTGGCAGCTCCCTCGATACACAATGAAGCGACCTCAGCTCAGACATGCTCTGACAGCCCTGTGCTACCAAACCACGTGACACTTGCCCCGCACTGCAGTGGGCACAGGGCAGGCAGCAAACATGGGGGTGGGAGATGGTTTTCTGCAGAGGAGAGCCACTGGGAGCCTTTAAGGTGGTGGCAAAAGAAAGTAACCTCACTGCCAATAGAAGCCAGATGGAGAATCTTTTGATGAAAAAAGCAGTTTGAGGGCTGAGCTTAACGTAGGTCTTTTGAGGCGCATTGGAAGGCTCCCCAGCTGGCTGCCCTCCTGGGCTGAAGCAGCCAGCACGCACAGTCTGCGTCTCCACAGTGACTGCATGACCTCGGATTCTGTCCCGAGCTCCACTTCACAGGGGAGAAACTGATGCGCAGAGAGATTAAGTGATTTGTGAGAGGCCGCACAGCTGAGAATGGGCGGAAGTGGGATTTGAAGCCAAATCTTCCTGGCTCCAGAGCTGAAGTTCTCAACCATCCTGCCTGAAGCCTAGGTGTGCCCCTACAAATATTCCACCGCAGGGAGAGAGGTGGCCTGGCCTTCTGTTGTGCGAAGTACCTAAAGACAGCTCCATACGGGCCATTTTCTATGTGCAGGAAGATGCGTGAGCTGTGCTGTGAAGCAGAGTCAAGTCTGACCAAGCTGGTCTGGAATGCTGTGGGAGAACCAAGGAACACAGCTACCCAGCAGATGCCAGAGCAACCTGCCCCTTGGGAACTGTGGTGGTGAGGCCAGCGTGCGACACACCAGGGGGCGGAATGAATGCCCCTAGGGCTGGGGATTCCTGAAGCTTATTTTCCACCTGCCCACACAGGAGGGCCCCTCAATACCTCAAAAGGTTTTGAAAGCAAAGGCTGAGCAATGGTGGCCCCCTGCCCTTGCTGGGGTCAGCCTGGGGTCAGGACCCCCAGGCCAGGGCTGTTTTGGTTACAAGCAGACTCGACCTAGAGGAAGGCCCTGGGGAAGAACAAAGGACCATGTATAAAAAGGGAACCAATTTGTTCTGGAAACAGGACCAAGGTGAATCTAGACAGACAGACAGACAGACTTTGTCTCAAACAGAGTTACTCAACAAACTGCCTTCTGGGACAGGACAGAGCTCATAGAGGGGTGGGGCCAGAGCAGCCACTGGCAGACCCAGGTTGGGATACGCAGAGGAGCTTTTTGCCCCAGTTAGGATACCAAAGTGATATTTGTAAAGACTTCAGAGCAGTGCCTGGCACAGAGTAAGCACGGTGCAGGTGCCTATGAAACAGTCTGTTTTCCAAGAAACGCTTTGTTAGCCCTCAGAGTTGGGGGTTGCTGGCCACTCCCCCTTCTGCCTCAAGGCAGGTCCACTGTCAGGCTGGCTCAGAGACCACCTGCTCAGTGCACCTGGCAGTTGCCAGCCTGCTGTTCTTGAAGTAGGTAATGGAGGGTCCCAGTCCTTGGGTCCTCACAGCCAGTTCTGTGGGAGAACTGGGAGAGAGAGGACAGGCTCCGCAGAGGAATCTTAACAAAGCTCCCTTCTCTTTTCCTCCCCTTCCTGCCCACCACTCTCTCCTCTTCTCATACTAGGTTCCAGTGTGTCCCAGAGCTAAAGGTCATTCTGCTTTCAGCTCCTTAGCCTGGGCTGTGTTACCAGGGGTTTCCACCACACCCCTTCCCCAGGAGTTTCCCATAGTCCCCAAGATGCTCACATCTCCCAGCTCTGCTGTGTTTGGGATTCCTCTAGGGTTGTTCAACCTCAGTGATGCTCCTGAAGGCTGAACAGCTGCTGGGGGCAGCTGGGTGTCCCGCAATTGCAACTGTCTCTTTTCTATAAACCATACGTTTGTGAAGATCTTCACTCGGTAGTGAATTTAAGAGCTTGCAGGGGAGGAGCCAATACTATATACCCAGTGACAGGCCTATAAACTGCTCCATGGAAGCTTGCAGGCATGGTCAGTCTGTGGGAGCAGGGGGCCAGGCACACCCTGTTTCCTGGCCTGACACCTTACTATAAGGTCCTGTGGAAGTCTTAGGAGGAGCCAGATTGCATCTTTCTGACATTCTTGCCCATCTAACACAGGCTGGGGAGTTTTAATGCTTGAGAATTCAGCCTGGTGAGTAATACCGCTCCACCGTGGACACAGCAGTTAGCACTGGGATGGCAGGCTCGCCTCACATACCTCAGTAGGAAAGAATCTGACGGAGAACCAGGGATGGGAAAAGGATCTTAAAAGTCCATTGGAAAAGGCACGAAACAAGTCATATTCACTAACTCCAGAGCAGGGGAGACAAGCAGCCCTTGGTGTTTTACTTAAAAGAGACTGCACTCCTCAGAGATGACTGACGAAGACCCAGCTGAGAAGATATGACCTACCCCTCTGTGGCCACGTACGTACCTTGGCTGACCTGGTGACGGCCCCGATCTCCGAGTATAGATCGGAGCTGTCTGGGAAGTTTTCCACCACCATGGTGCACACATGGTAAAGGAGCGACTGTTTGTGCACGGTGTCTTTGACTTCTGGAACCTTCTCGAGGTAGCTTAACTCAAACGCTTTGGCCTGTTAGGGGAATGTTAAACAAAAGGCAGGAAGGACAAGTTTTACTTGGGTTCTTAGAATGGCACGAATGGTTAGAACCAATGCCCTGTGGGAGTACCCCAATATTTAGATTTAGCTTCTTTGTGACTGACGCTTCTCAGGCCACATGCTCTGTCATTCTTAGCTGATCACACACGGGTGAGCCACGGTGAGAATGAAATGAGCCTCCAGCCCTTTCCCACCAAGGCCATCAGCCACGAGCTGCCCCCAGGCTCCGCCCCTAAAAGTCAAGGTGCCCTGAGGTTCGGCCTCTGCCACCTGGATATCTACAAACTTCTTCTCCCTTTGCTTACTACTGCTATTCTACTTTCTGGCCAAATATAGGCCAATTTTTTTAAGTTTGTTTATAATACTTATATACATCAGACAAAAACAAAAACAAAAAAATAAAAACAGCCTAGAAGAAAATATCTCCACTGTCAATTTTGAGAGTAGCCAAGCTTCAAAGGGAAAGTATGTTTGTTTTTCTAAGTTTTCTTATCTATAGCAAGATACAGGTTCACCTTGGCTGGGTGGCTCAGCTGGTTGGAGCATCATCCCACACGCCAAAAGGCTGTGGGTTCGATCCTCAGTCAAGGCACACACCTGGATCGCAGGTTTGATTCTCGGTCAGGGTGCATAAGGGAGGCAACCAATCAGTGTTTCTCTCTCACATCCATGTCTCCCTTCTTCTCTCTCTAAAATTAATAACTATATCCTCGAGTGAGTGCTTAAAAATATATATATTACATATAATATATAATATATAAATATATATTTTAAACATACATTTAAATATCTATTCGAAGAACAAATTTCTCCTAGAGTTTCAGCAAAAAATACAAAAGTTGTTTTTCAGTTGTGCTTTGGGGAACCAGAGATATGAACCCCACCAGCAAGTTAAGGGCAGGAACTTTGGGACCCGGGAGGTAGGCGGAGAGAAGGAATGTGGAAGACTTACATTAGTTCCGTTTAGAAAGTTCCCAATGGCTAAGAGAGTTGACAGGATAAAGCCCAAGGTTTTATTGTTCTCCAACTGGTCTATTCCTTCCTTCAGGTCCAAAAGTGGTTCTGCCACTTCCTTTCAATTAAAAAAAAAAGGTAAGACGATAAAGAATGGTCATTTTGGCTTTACTTGGTTCTTTCTAATCTTTGTACGAGGTAACAAGTGGAGTTCTCCTTGGCGTCAGGCAATCCCACATGACCTACTACTCATGCTCCTTGTTGCGGGAAAACGCTGACGGGCAGCAGGGAGCAAGTCTCCTCCTTGAAGTCTCCCCAGGGGAGACCAAGTGGGCGCCTGTGGCTGACAGGAGCTCGTGCGGGGGTGATAAATCATCTCTCTTCCCCTCCTCCTGCCCATCTTCCAACACCCTCATTCACAACCCGTCCTTCTCTCATCTCCCCATGGCTGACTTCTATGACGCTCCCCCTTCACATGTTCCAAAGCAGAAAATTCTGCCTTTCTCCTACCAGGCAGATGGCCCTGGGCCTCCCAGGTCTCCTAACCTCCCCTCTAGGCACTCTGGCTGGCCCCTCTGAGCCTGGTTACTCCCACGGCCTTCACAACTCCCACTCTCTCAGACTTGTGGTGAGTGCCCTGTGTCCTCATGGCCTCAGTCCCTTTCTGTCACTGTGTGATCCCCACTCCCAAGTTCTTACTGAGCCTCTCCCCTCACCTGTATCCCAAAGCCAGAAGGTTCAGCTTCATTCTCTGCAGCTCAGGTTTATCCCCTGCCTAACCCCAACCAAACCTAGACCCAATTGTCTGTCTTCTCTAGGACTTTACCCCACTTTGCTAAAGAAAGTTACTCAAACATGCTGACTGGTTTTGTGATCAAGTCATGCCAAGTCACCTTAGCAGCCCCAGCTTGCTTCATCCCTGCTGGATTCCCACCTGAATTCAAATACAGCCCTTTCCTCCGGAAGCCTCTCCCCGACCTCCACCCCCAGCCCCGCCCACTGCCACTATCTGGCCCTCAGCATAGGACTGTGCTTTCTCTTTCCTTTGCAGCTTCTCCAACCTGTGCTTTGATTCTTTCTCCTCTGGGCACTTCCTCTTAAACTCACCTCCAGCTTAGTGTCCACCTCTCCCCTTTCCTGTCCACCAGTTCCTTTTGCTCAGCTGGCAAAAATAGTCACACTGCCACAGGCCCAAGAGGACTCCCGCTTCCTCTGCTTTCTATTCAAGATGAGTCTCCTCCCTCTGCCTTTACTGCCAAGGCCCCTTTCCTTCTCTTCTCCTCTCAGCCCCTTGCAATCTGTTTCAAATTCAACTGACTTCAACTTTCTCCCGAGATACACTCTCAAAGGGACCCTGTGACCTGCCAATGGCCCTAGTCAATGGCAGTTAAGGTGATTATCACCAAGTGGATGGATTACATATCACTTCCTATACTGCATATTTTCTATATTTTCCAAATTTTCTACAATGAGCAGATAGAGTCAGAAAAAAATAAATAGGCTTTTTTTTGAAAGCCCACAATCCCATGTCTGAGGCAGGTGCCGGGCGGACACTTTAGAATGGCGCTTCCCTGGCCAGCTGCTGGTCACTTAGACAGCCACAGCCAATCACTGCCAACTCAGGCCCTCTCTTAAGGAAGAAGCTCCACCACCTCCGTCAGTGCAAAACTGACATCCTCAACCCTGGGGATGCAGAACTGGCCACCTGTCTTCCTCAGCGCTTACCTTTTCTGTCGTTTCATAATCCATCTTGAATGCCCAGAGGTGGAGCCGAGCTGAGAGCTCGCTGATGGAGGAGAGCGTGAGGAGGAACTGCTCTGCGCTGCCCAGCGGCGCCTCGGGGTTGGCCAGCTGAGCCTCCTGGATCTTCTGCTTCTCTTCTTCGGTGGGGATCATGGTGAGGATTTTCTGGAAAGACGGGATGATGCAGTGTATGTTCTCTCTTAGTGATGGAACCTATTCCGCCCCTTCGATGTTTCCAAATTCATACTGAAACACTCCAACCAGTAGTAGAGACATTCTGCTGTCGGTGTGTTTACCATATACGGGGGTTACAGTGTTTAAATCAAGTACACTTTAGAGAAAAGCCGCAGTAGCATCTAAACTTACATTCATTTGTTTTAAACTTCCCTCTTTCCCGCTCTCCTTTAATCTGTTTCATAAGCAACTTGCCCCAGATGTTCTGGGCCTTATACAAGAAGGACATTCTAGGCAAGAAGTGAGGATGAAGGGGAGAGGAAGATGAAAGAATAAGTAGAAGATTAGAGAACAGTTCCCTGTTCCCTAGGAAACCAAGTAAAGCATGTTAAGAATACATGCTTTCTAGTACATCTCATGGATTCCTTTTAAAGCTTACAAAAACAAAGCACTTTCAAAGATTTCAGGTTGAAATCTTGTACATAGGACATAAGTTTATGTGTTTTAAATATTTAAACCAAGTTTATATAGAAATGAAAACACTGTAAATAATATCAAACTCAAGGCGGATTGAGTAAAAATGATGAGGATATTAATAAAGAGCAACACCTACCTACTAATAAAAAAAGTGTATCTTTATGCTTCTATTTGGTTCTGGTTAAAGTCAATTGTGGAAGGCAGAGAAGGCAAAAAGGCACACAGGCATTACGATTCTTTCGGATTCAGATTCCTTACTGATGGCATGCTAATAATAGAAAACAACTCCCATCATGTGTGAAGCACATACAACTCTGTTTAAGATATGGTGTCATCATTTTTCTCTCATTTCTCCTTCTGTAACATCAGAGCAAAGAAACACTCTGTGCTATACTTTTTGTAACTTGCATTAAATCATTAATTCTAAGGGGCCGTGGTTGCACTCTGCATAGCGAGCCCCTGGGTAACAAGGGAGAAGGAACTCTGGTTCCGGGTGCAATGGAGCGGGCACATGCTGCCCTGTCCGCCCCAGTGAAAGGCACCTGTACACCCAGCACGGCATGCAAGGAGCGGGTATCTGAAGACTCTACGAGACACAAATAGTGGCAGGTGGACTGCCGAAGAAGACTAGAATTGGAAGTTCAACTGAACCGGGAATGAGTGAGGTGACCATTTTTCCTCTGGCGTTCCACAGCCTTGGCATCGGAAGGCCCCAGGTGGCCTGAAACCTGGAAGAGGATCAGGTGGAGAGAGAGCAAACCCTCTAGTCCTGGCTAGCAGAGTAGAAAGGCATCTGTCTCCTAGCAGTGGTGGGATGGGCTGGGAGATGCCTAAAACTCTGAGGGAGGGAAACTTCCTCTCCAATCAGTGATGCTGTGGTCCCTTCTGCTTTTCTTCTCTGTCCTCTTCTCGGCTGGATCCCAGACATAAGCACAGTCACAGAAGGTGGAAGGCAAAATAATGTAACTTGAAACCCCAGCTTTCAGCTGGAAGACCAGTGCCCAGGGCACTGGAAAGTACTAGAGAGATCATGGAAAATGAAGAGCGTGGCAGAGCAAGTGTATAAAGTTGCTTAAGAACTTCTGGGCTCACCCCTGAGCTGCCCGTACATCAATCTTGGAGACCTGACCTAGCCTTTGGAAACCTGGAAACTGAGCTGATGCTGGAACCACAGGCCCCAAGATGTAGGCGAGAACCTGTGGCCTGAGCCCAAACCAGGGAGGGCTAGTTTTCAATTCTATATGTGAGACCAGAATTACCCTGATGTAGAACTAGACAAAGATGGTACAAGAAAACAGAGCTAGAGACTAACATTCTTGATGAAACTAGATGCAAAAATCCTTAACAATATATTTTAAAATATATAAAGGTCAGTATGTTAAGATATGTTAACACATTACTATATTTTACATAGCAATATAATAAAGATAATCACAAGGTTGATTCAATATACAACAATCAATCAATACCATTAATCTACCAGATAAACTCTGAACAAAAAATTCACATAATCATTTCAATTGATACAAATTTTTTTGATAACATCCAACATCCATTCATGACAAAAACAAAAAAGCAAAACCCTCTCAGCAATCCTACAGTAGGAGGGGTTTCCAGCACCTGTTCAATGACACACATAAAACCCTGCAGCTCACGTCGTGCTCGGTGGGAACAGACTGTGCGCTTCCTCTCTAAGACTGGGACCAACACAGGAGGTATTTTCTAAAAAAGCCATACAGATTGGGAAGGGAAAATTGAAACTGTTCCTATCGCACATGGTATAATTGTCTACATAGAAAATTGTGAAGAATCTAAAAAAATTATTTACAAGTGAGTTTAATAGTGTTGTAATAAGGTCACTACAAAGAAAAGTCCATTTTATTCCTATACATTGATAATGAAAAATTACAAATAGAAATTTAAGGAAAATGCTTTTTATAATGAAACTCTTAGGTATAAATCTAACAAACCATGCTGGAAAGCAGAAAATGATGATGGAAATGATGAAAAAAGATCTAAATAAATGGGGGATATATTGTGTTCATGGACTGAAAGACAGCAGAGTCACATATTAATTTTCCCCAAATTGGTCTATAAATTTAACTTAATTCCATTAAAAATACTGGCATGACTCTTTTTGTGTGTGTGGCTACAGACAAGCTGGTTCTAAAGTCACAGGGCAGATGAGCCAAACCAACTATAACGATTCTGAAAAAGAAGCAACTTGGCCCTGGCCGGGTAGCTCTGTTGGTTAGAGCAACATCTTGATGAACAAAGTTATAGGTTCAATCTCTGGTCTGGGTCCATGTGAGAAGCAACCAAAGAATGCACAAATAAGTGGACAATAAAATCAATGTTTCTCATACACTCTCTCTCTCTCTCTCTCTCTCTCTCAAATCAATTTTTAAAAATTAAAAAAAGAAAAAAACAACCTTGAAGGGGCCACACCACCTGACTTTAAAATCTACTACAGGGTATTAGTAATAAGACAGTATGTCATGGCAATAGGACAGGCATATGGACCAATGGGGCAAAACAGGGAGTCCCGAAACAGACTGCACATATGTGGCCCATGGATTGTGACAAAGATGCAAAAGCAGTTCAGTGGAGAAAGGGTAGTATTTCTAAAATACGGTTTTAGAACAACTGAAATTCTTACGCAAAAAAAGAACCTCAAATTAAACCTTACACTTCACACATGAACTAACTTAAAAGAAATCACAGACCTAGAGTAAAATGTAACACTGCAAAACTTTTAGAAAGACACATAGGAGAAAATCTTTGTGACTCATGTCAGGCAATGAACTCTTAGACATGAAACCAGAAAAGAACAGGTTGATAAACTGAACTTCATCCAAATTAAAAACTTTTTCTCCGTGAAAGACACTGTTAAGAGAATGAAAAGACAAGTTCTGGTCCCTCCAAAGGTTGGACACAGAGTTACCATATGACCCAGCAATTCCACTGGTAAGTTTTTACCAAGAAAAAAATTAAAACTTCTATTTGCACAAAAAAATTGAACATGAATACTTGTAGCAGCTTTATCCAAATTCCAGCAACCAGACCAAGCCACATATTCTTCAGCAGATGAATCAAGTGTACTCAGCAATGCAGAGCGACAGACTCCAGGGGCGTAGTACAACTAAGATGATGCTGAGAGGCGTCAACCATGCTTGAGTGACAGGAGCCAGTTACTTGCTGTGTGATTCCGTTCATGTGACATTCTCCAGAAGACGAACCGCAGCGAGGAGAACAGATCAGTGGTACCAGGGGCCAGGGGTGAGCTGAGGGAGCAACTAGACAGGGGCAGCACAAGAGTGCATTTCTGGGGGGAGATGGGGCTGTTGTGAATCTTGACTGCAGTTGCCAGTGCATGAATTTACATGTATTTTCAGACTCTTACAACTGCATACCAAAAAGTTGAATTTTACTCTCTATTAATGCAAAAAATATATAAATAAATAAATAACAAAATTGACAAAAACTTGGACCCCTGACACCATACTCGGCAAACAGGCAGGTGTTCACAGGACGGTGCCTCAGGACATGCGTGGCCGGGGTAGAAGCCATCTGGTCTGGTGAGAGTGAGTGTTATTGAGGAAGGCGGTCTCAGGGTTCGGGGTGTGCTGCATGCTGCAGTCAGAATGGGGTCACAGAAGGTTCGCCTTCAGTTACTCCCGCTTCCGGCACTACCATCACCATGGCCCCAGACACTGAGATGATGTGGGGAAACGTGAGCATCGGGGGTGACACTCAGCGACAGTGGCCCTTGCCCTCCCTGGGCCCCTGCTTCCACCCCACCTGTCCACACAGATGGCATCGGAAACACCCAGCACAACTCGAGCCCATGTCACTTCTTTGAAAACACCCAGGAGTTGAACTCGAGCGTTTTCAAAATAAAAACTTAAAATTTGTATTATAATTTTCTTCATGTTGAAATAGTGTTCGGTATGTACAAGAATTCCAAAATAAAAAATTGTCGACGCTTTTCCCCCTTCTTCAGAAGGCACTTTCCTGCCCTGATATTAGTTGACTCGTTTCCTTTGGGAAAGTAATCAGACACTCTTACTTTTGTTTTTCACTTCTCTGACTAATTTAAACCATTTGTTCACTGTCGAAGATTTATGAGGTTGCCATCTGCCAGTTTGTTTTATTTTTTTTACACATCTCTGACAATAAAAATAGCCAAAAGACAACGGAAGGGCAGGTCAAAGCCACCTCCTATGAGGTGAAGGCCATTTTTTTCCACGAGCAGATGAAAGGAGATGAACATGAGGGGGAACCTCTGATTTGTTCTTCGACCCTGTCGGGAGATTTATAGGCAATTTTATGATCGCCATTTGGTTCCACGGGGGGAGAAACATCAAACAAGACCACTACGCAATCATCTCAGCATTTTTTGCTTTTTATTTTCTCCCAGACGGTGTTTCTCCTGCACTTCTTTAATGGTATTTGCTTTTGTATCTGAAAGCCATGTTTCAGAGAAAAAATGCACAAGTCTTACTTTTTATGGACCTGGATGTTTTCAGGCGTGGCCATCTCATTCACCTGCAGGTGAGGCCGTGCTGAGTAATTATTCCGCCTCGTGAGTTTTGGACAGAACCAGGGCCGCAGCCCTGGATGAGAATCTAACACAAGGACTGGGTGAGAGCAGCAGAGTGCTGAAGCCCCTAGAGCCAGGCCTGGCTTGTACACAGCTTGCATATTCTCATGAGACAGTGGTTTTCTACTTTAGTATTTATTCTCATGCACATGGAGGAACTTTCTTTTTAATTTCTCAAGGGGTCCTGAGAGTATCTTCCTTCGTTGTTGTGACTATTCAGTGAAGCATGTGGGACAGAAATTACTGCATCAAACTTGCAGATGAAGTGACTTGCCTGGAGCAAGCCTGGACCAACAGGGCGGAGCCAAAGGACCACAGAGGGGCTATGCCTGGCTTCCCAGCACCAACTGCACATTCACAGCAATTCAACCCAAAACTGGAAGTGGCTGGTGTGGCGAAGTTGCCCAGCCCATGAGGACACTCAGGTTCCCTGGCACTGGCGACCAGTTGCGGTGCCTGAGCTCAGGCTCACCTGGGTGCACCCAGCACCCACTGGGGCACCTGTGGATGGGGGTGGCACAGTGCAGAGTGCTTGAAAAGGTGCTACAGTGTTGTACCTGTGGCCAAAGGGAGCTTCTGTCTTTAGCATGATGACAGGCCCGGCAGCCAACTGGGCCAAGTTAAATGTCATTTGGGACCATTCAATTGTGCTACCCTCTGAGTAGACACAGACTAGAAAAGTCGGAAATGCAAGAAAAAAGGGAAACCTCTTCGTACTTCCATTCGTGATACCTTAAGGACATCGTGCTTAGGAAAATATCATTAATACTACTTAGAAATGGCCCCAAATTAATGTTTAATCTTATCATGAAAAATAACTTCCTTAATCAAGTTAGTTAACTACTCCCTCAGCTTTACACAACAAACCGGATGCATACCACTGGGTTGCTAAGCAAAGCCACAAGACGTCCTCTAATACATCCTAATCACATTTAGGTACACAGAAGTTTCAAATGGCCCTATTAAGCCATGGTGCCATGCTACCGTGCCTGCATCCCAGAAGCAGACAGTTTGGCAAGAGGCTCTTCCGTGCAAGCTAGAAATCTTATTAGTAAAGATCTGTAAGGACACAACTTCCATCTCGTCTCAGTCCTGACTTAATTGTTGAACAACAAGCCTAGAGAATAGACTCTGGGTAGCCGGCTTAGCACAGGGGTGTAGGCCATGCAAGTCCCTTGGGTCCCTGAGATCAGTGGTCAGAGACAGCAGGTACTGCAGGTCAGTGCCTGCATTCTCCAAGAGAACGGGTGTTTGCTGGCCTCTTCCCAGTCATGACTGACAAGAGTAATATATATATAAATACACACACACACACACACACACACACACACTTTCTGGATTCACACAGACAGCCTTAAATCAGGGGTTCCCAATCTAGGAACCCCCAGGATTTTGCCCCCAGGAAACATTTGACCAAGTCTGGAGACATTTTGGTTTGTCACTGCTGGGATGGCACTACTGGCTTCTGAGTAGAGGTTGGGGTGTCACTCAGCATCCCACAATGCGCAGGGCAGCTCCCACAGTCGAGAACTGCCCAGCTGAGAGTGTCAACGGTGCCACCAACAAGAAACCCTGCTTTGGATGAACACTGTGATAAAATGTGTGCCTCTGTGCTGCTGTGACCACACATGGACTTGCTGAGGTCTCATGACACAATAAGCTCTCAGTAAAGGATTACAGCGTTCTCCACCGCTGTGTCTTCCTGCTCTGCATCATTCCACGCATCCGCTCCTCCCACTGGAAAGCCACAGGCAGCACTGGGAAGTGGACTGTGTGGCCTTGTGAGTCTTCTCACTCCACATTCAGAGTCCTTCTTCATCCTTTAGCATCCATGGGCCCTCCCAGGCCACCCATCTCCAAGGCCATGCTCTGCACTGTAGACTCAAAGTCTAGAGCTCATATTCCAGCGTGGCCTCTCACTGGCTTGTGTACTTGGACACAGACTAAAGCTGGGACTCACTCTCTTTATCTTTAAGATGGGAAACGTAACAGTATGTGCCTCGTGAGGTCCTAGCGAGCATCTGTGTAAAGCACCTACCCATGCCGGGCCCATAGGGAGGAACCTGTGGAAGCAGTCTTTGCGCTGTGTCGCTTTTCCTACATCCATCACCATTACTGTTGCTATCATTAGACCTTCCTGGATCAAAAAGGCACTCAGCTGGAAACCAGTCAGAAAAGGGAAAGGTAATTTGATTCATTCTAAAATCTAAGTAACCCATTGTATCTGAAATTTTCCCCACCCAGAGAGATCTACATTTCAGGAAAGAACAAAGGCAAAGCCCAGAGGAATCAATCTCTCCTAATGGACTTTCAAGTCCTCAGGACAAGAAAGGAGAAATATTTTTAAAGGAGGAAGTTGTCATTTTTCTCCTTCAATCAGGCTGGCTCTGGCTGCATTTGAAGTCTTTCTTTGCGTGAGTCTGAAGCTTCTGCCCTCTCTAAAAGACACTGTTGTGTAAACAAGATGGTCAGGATGTGCTCCGGGCCCACCACACTGTCATCCTAGATGAAAGATGCTTGCACTTGGTCTGTCCAGGTTGGCAGCTCCCACCTGCTTAATGGCAAGCCAATGCCCTTGTCCTGCCTTCCCCTCTGGGGGTCCCCTAGTGGGGCTGCCTCACACTGAGGCCTGGCCTACCCGCTTCTTCCTTCTGGCAGTGTCCCTGTCTGTACATACCTGCTGTCACTGGCTTTTTTCCTTATACCCCCTGGCCCAGCTGGCCATGGGCCCTCATTCCCTAGCTGCCCGCCTGGACATGCTGACCTGCTCTGTTGCCAGCCCAACTCTACAGCTTGGGGCTCAACTTCCTCTCCAGCCAGAAGGAAATGCATTTCAATCCTTCTACCTGCTCTGTGGAACACAGTGAGTAAGTGTTTCTCAGAGTAGAGCTGCTTAGGCCTGTACTGGTTTCCTGGGGTTGCCATAACCACCAACCGGGTGGTCTAAAAGAACAGAAACGTAATCTCGCAGTTTGAGAGATGAGAGTCAGCTACCAGGGAGTCAGCAGGGCCATGTCCTGACTAAAGGCTCTAGGGGAGGATGCTGTCTTGACTCTCTCCAGTGTCTGGTGGTTGTGGGCAACCCTTGGCATTCCTTGACTTGTAAACACATCACTCTAGTCTCTCTCTGCCCCCGCTATCACATGTTCTGTGTGTCTCCCTGAGTTCTTCTGTCTTCACATGGCATTCTCCTCTCTGTGTCTATGTCCAAATTTCCCTCTTATAAGGATATCAGTCACTGGAGTAGGGCCCACCCTAATCCAGTGTGACTTTATCTTAATTTCATCACATCTGCAAAGACTATATCCAAATATGGTCAGATTCTGAGGTTCTGGATGGGCATGGATTTTGAAGATACACTGTTCAACCCAGTACAAACCTCTGGGAACACAGTGTTTCCTGGGGAGGCCTCTTCTTTTCAGAGCACAAAGGCACGCCTGCCCAGCTGGGTTCAGACGCTACCACATGCCCCACTGCTCCCTCCCACACTCAGGGCCAGGGTCAAGTGTGGCACCATGGCCTGAGCCGTTCCTCATGTTCAACTCTTTTGTCAAAGGCTTGCTCTCCCTCTCTGTAGTCAGTCCTCATTTGTTCCCTCTGCTCTCAGGTCTTTCACTTAAGACTGTGTATGAATGAACCCCAACTATGGAAGAATATCAAAGGAATCCAGACCCTCCTGCTGCCAGAAGGATGGGGTGGGTGCCACCCAGTGCTATGAAGCAGTGCCCCATCCCAACTCTGAGCCAGCGAGACCCAGGCTCTGTCACCTGTCTGCAGGAATCTGCGGGCTGGGCCATTGACTGTACTCACGCTGCTTCCATTGTCAGAAGAGGAGACTGAACTTGCTGAAGACTGGCACCAGCCCATAGGGAAGGGAGAACAGGCCCTGGTGGAAGAGAACTGAACTCTGCCGAGCAGAGCAGCTGGGCTGTGGCTCCAGCAAGGCCACCTAGCAGTCATGTAGTCACAGCCAAGTCACCCAGCCTCTCTCCACTTTTACCATGCAGGTCAGCAAATACTCAAGACTCAGCTGGCAAGTAAAACATATCTCTCTGCACTCTATCAAGTTCAAACAGAGAAAGTCATACACGTGGATATGAGCACACATAGAAAACCCTACTTTTGAAACTGCTCATTCCACTTTTTGGCTTGAAATGATATAAACTAAGATCCTAACAGCCTCCCCTAAGGAGGGGATAAGGGTGGGCAGAATATGGTCAGAAGGAAGCCCGGGAATGAACCAGAGTGAGGATCTCTGAACTTCATTGGTAAAAGGGGACTTCCCCAGGCCCAAGAAGTTTTTTAAAAAAATGTGAGAATTATTAACATTATTCAGAGTCTGGCTGAGACAGAAAAATGACAAGCCATTCTACGGAGAAAGTCATACTAAACACATTAATGCTTTACATGTGTGACTCATTACAGAATACAAATAATGCCTGATAGAGCTCCTCTTACCTCAATTCCTTCTTTGTTTAAGGCATATTCATCAAAATTCAAAATGGCTATCTTAATCGTTCTTGGCGGGGGCAGTACCGTCAGCCCAATATTAATAGCATTGCTCCGCTTGGAATCCAGGACGATGATCTCTTGCCTTTTTCCATCTGCAGCAGTTTTCTGGGTGACAGAAAAGGAGAATCCAAGGTTAATGCCTCATCTCTGGTCCTTTCTGTGTTTCATCATTAAGTGTAAACTCACTGCTTATTTAGAGATGAAAACAAGTGGCCCTGACTGAGCTCGGGAAGGACTGGCTACAGCTCAGCACAGAAAACAGGAGACCAGGGATCAGCCACGAGAAGCCGCCAAGCTCAGGTCAGCAATGGAACTTCACAAGTCAGACACATCACAAAATAAAATTGATTTTCCTTCAATTGGGAAAAATGTGATATTTTGCAAGAAAGGAAAAAACCTTTTTTTTTTCCTATTGATGCAGTGGAAACAAAACTAAAACCTCACAGAGCTCCCTTCCTGTGTCTGCAAGGTGTTGGAGTGTGCTCTGGTTGACCCTAGTGCATACGGCGTGTGCCTGGAGACAGAGACGGTTGGTACGCATGCCGAGAAGACAGAGGTGAAGGGGACAATCTGCCATCTCTGGCCGGTCAGCCCCTGTGGGCCCCTGGGCACCTATTCAAACCCCCTGGGTCTCTCATTCCAGAGCACCTGCCACGCTCAGACAGCTGGGCAGCTGCCGCTGGTGAGTGAAGAGGGACCTGCTGAGGAAGGAAAGCCAAAGGGCATGTGCTGGTGAAGGGGAATGAGAGGCGAATGGCCTAGAGGCCAAAAAGGGGAGCAGGGGCACAGGTGTCCAGGTGACCTCATAGAACCCTGTGTGTGTGGCTTTGCTGCTAGTCTGAGTGCTCCTTGTGGGCAGGCCCTGGGTGTGAGGTACTGAGCCAACACTTGCCCAGAGAGGGGATGACAAGGCCTCCAGCTTCCCCCCTGAGCTCTAGGGAAGTTAAGTGCGTGTGGCCATGGGGACAAGTGGAGGAGATCTGGCTCATCAAGCCCCCTGACTGGGTCCAGGTTTCCCTTCAGGCAAACAGAGGTGGGAGAATGACGATTTTTATTCAGGTAACAAGCCCATGTAGCAATGATGATTTAGGCACAGTGGACTTCCTAAAGGAAAAGATAGGGTATGTTTACTATGTGAGGGACTTAGCAGTGGGGTACTTAACTCATCTGGTGTATGGGGGTGCAGGGTTTGGAGGAGCTGACACTTAAGCTGGGCCCTAAAGAATGTCTAGGATCTGGTCTGGAGCTGAGGAGAGAAGATAAGGAGATAAGAAGTGGCTTTGTCTAGGTTGCTGGGAATTGCCAGAGAAGAAGCTAGAAGTTTGGAGGAGGGTGCACATTCAGGGGACCTCAGGAGCCTGCCACTGTGACTCCACAGCAGGCAGGCCCTAGCCGAGTAGCTGATGCTGCTCTCCAGGGGTCTGTGCATGGAGGCCCGCCCTCCTGGCTGGGGCTGGGAGCTACGAACTGTCGAACTGTCGGGTGGGCTGGCCTGCTGCAACGTGAGAGGCTGGAGGCTGGCAAGGAGAAATGGACCACGGTCCCTTAAGTCCTACTGAGCCTTTCCAAACTCAATTACTAAAACTCTATTTTAGATCCTCAAATATGCATTTGGGGATAAATTAACATTTCTTCATGAGGAAAATAATTGAAAGCATCCCAGCCATTCTGGGGCCAGGTGGCCAGGAGGAGCAGTTCCTGTGGGTGTGGCCATCATCAGCTTTGAACAGTGGCTTCCTGGGGTATGTGGCACGCACAAGCATCCTCATTCTGCAGGGCAAGCTTGTCTTTGATTTATCTAACCAAGATAGCCTATTGGGAATCCCTGAAATTTAAACCTAATTAAAACTTATTTTATGTGTGAAATACTAAAAAGGAATGGAAAAAGATTTGACAAAATGCTAACTACAGGCAATGAAGAGGGATATTATGATTTGCAATGCCCATGCTGGGGTGCTGGGGTGCTGGGGTGCTGGGGTGCCCACCCACCCAGGCACTGCAGGGCACCTACCCAATGTCCACTCCCTCTTCCCTGCTCACCAGCCGGACCTTGACTTTTCTCAGGTTGGCAATGTGTCAGTGACAACAGTCATCTTGCTGGACCTTTTGCAGCTGAAGCTGGCCCTGTGACTTAGTTCTAGCTTTTGTTTTCTGATTGAAAGGGGTTAGACTCAGAGGACCATGCCTTTTGCCCTTACCCTCCTTCCCATCTAGAGTGAGGATGTGAGGCCTGGAGAGGAAGCAGAAGGTACGACGCCACATAAGATGGCAGCACAGAAGGCAGAAGGACCCTGGGGCCTGGCCCGGGAGAGCCAGTTGCCCAGAGCCGGGCCCAGCACAGGAGGCATTTATCGGAAGGCAGGGATTCCCTGGGAATCGTGGGCCCTTGGCCCCTCACCTATACAGTCCCCCTCACTCTAGGGGCCTGGAGAGATGCCTTGGCAGGCCCAGCCCAACCACAGCCTTTGTGCAAGTGAGAAAAAGATGTCCTGCTCTGGGGAGACACAGCCCCATGGCAAACAGCTTGAGAAGAAAGCACCTCTCAGATTTTAGCCCTTCCCCCTCAGCCAGTATCTGTGTGCAAAACAATAGGCACAGACCTGTATAGTGGCTCTGAGCCTGACAAGTCCTTGTCCCCATTCTCAGGAGAATTCAGTGTACACCTTGGACATACCCACACGGTCCCCTGTAAGTGCGGGAGAAGCCTCCAAGCATCCGGGGATAATGGGGAGAGCTGTCCCCACAGATGACTCACCATGTCATCAGAGCACTTCCACCCACTTCGTGAAGGAATAAGAATCAAAGTAATATTTGAAATTGAATTATTTGATCTCTGGATTTTATCCAAGAAGTTTTTTAAATGCTGTTCTTCCTAATTAAAACAGATTGCCCCGAACACTATTGAGCTCATAGTGCCTTGGGGTCCATCTTGCCTGAGATGAGGCAGTGGGTCATGTAGGGCCGTCCGGCTCTCTCACCTCTCTGCTGCCCTCCCGCAATAACCTGGAGAAGCACCTGCAAGACCAAAATGCTCTGTGCTCGGGAGCTCATGCCCAAACATCAGTTCTGATCCATTTCAATCATCTTTTTGGGTTCAAATTCCTAGATCAGCAAGTGTGGCCTTCACTGTATCCTTCACCTGGTCCTGAGACAGAGTTACTGTCATCCATCCTCTTCCTCAAAGCCTCTCATGCCTACCTATCCTTCGTTCCCACCACCTGCACCTTTAGCCTGACCCCTGGCACCCAGCCTCCCACCACTGGCCTCCTGCCTCTGGGCTCTTCTCTTCCCCAACCCACCCATCACACTCTTGCTAACAGCCTTTCTCAGGCACCCATTTCCTTACTACACTTCTTTGATTAGAAAGTCAGTGATAGTTCATGGTTTGAAATTAGAAAAACAAAAAATTGGCCAATGATGCAAAGAGGATGTAAAGCAGAAGCCGAAGGAGAAAGAGTGGCCTGTGTGAAGAAGACTAGGAAATGTTACATGCCCGTCTAACAGCATTTAGAACAAAGGGGTAAGATGATAGGGCAAAGGCGGAACAGGACTTGGGAAGATGACAGGGGGCGCAACTTCTAGGCAGGAGATCAGAAAGTTGTTCTGCATTTGATGGGAGACCAGACACGTCCTCAAAAGCAACACCCAAACAAGGAGACAACAGACTGAAATCTCTTGACATATCAATACTGGGCCTACCTGAAGGAAATGGCAAGATTGTCTTGAAAGTAATAAAAGATGTGAATAAATGAAAAACTTAATATTCCTGGATAGGAGTCTAAACATTATAAGGAGGCTCATTGTCTCTCACCTACTATATACATTTGAGGTAACTCTAATAAAAATCCACCAAGATTTGTCTTTGGAATTAAAAAATATTCTAAAGTTACTATGAAGGCTATATGTGTAAAAAATTGATAGTTATATGTAGCATTTATCCAATTAGCTATAAAAACATTATAAAACTGATAGAACTAAAATGTATAGCACCAGAATAGCTAGAATGGTAGAACAGAATAAAATGATAGTGTAGAAAAGGCTCTTATACAATGGTCTAGGGCATTGCAACAAAGATGCCAAGATTATTGAGTCATGACTAATTATGAAAGCCTGATTTCTAAAATGGAACTGAAGAAAGTAACCTGATGTCAAAAAAAGCAATACAACAGGTTAACATCGTGCCACACTGGATGGACTGACATCTTCGTTCTTAAGAAGAGAGAAAGCAGGAGAACAGGCTTGGCTATGATGGCAGTCCGTTGCGGCCTCTTGGCTGACTGGAGTCTAAAGACGCGATTAGTGATGGTCCATGACAGCAAACCCGGAGGCGACAAGGCCAAGTCCTCCAACAGTCTCTTTCTGATTGGCTGAGTGAGTCTGTGTATTAATTGAGTTGTTGCCTCTCTTTGATATAGATCCCATTTCCTTGAATGGATATTTCCTGGCTGTCTGTGAGGTGCCTACTCCTGAGTGGGGCCATTTCCATGACAGGACTAATTGAAATGCATACCTGTGGAGGGCCAGGAGGCCCAGGACACCTACGGCCAGTCCTAGGGCAACAGGAATTAAAAAGGTTCCTGTCTCAAGTCTTTGACAAAAGGTCAATCAGGCAATCCTCGGCCCACTTCCTCAGTGAATCCCAAGAACTATCAGGGAGGAAGCGATGTTGGAAGGAGGCTCCTGTGGGCCCAATCTCCAGGCTCCAGATTCTAGGCTAGTGCTTGGCTGGACGTGAAAGTGGGAACAACTGATTCTGGGGTGAGATAGTCACCCTGGCAAAAGAGTGGAAGAGAGGCTATATGTGGGAGACATCTGTAGAGCAGTTTGTGGACATGCTACTTTTCCCAATATGTCCAGAAATGTTCAAGGGAAAAGGAGAACTTGCTTCTTTAAGGGAGTGGAGGGACCCTGGGAAGAACCCAGACTCTGGTTTTGCCTCTAGAAAGCCTAGTTTAGCTGAACTCTTGAGCAGCACGAGGCTGTGGCCCCCCAGCATGTAGCACAGCCCTGCCCTGGAGCTCCAACTATCAGGGAGCTTCTGGGATACTAGTCGTTGCCCTTCTAGAAATGGTGTCTCTGGAGAAATGCTGCAGGCTTGGATGCCA